TATAAGATTTATTTTATTGTCTTCTAATATAACTTTTGTCTAATTAATTCTATATTTCAATTAATTATTTGAACTTCTTGCAATATTTCTTGTCTTATACAAATAATTGTTGTTTTCAAATATATAAGGATTATAAAAAATTAATGTTTTGAAATTTTGTTGTTATTATATATTTTGTTTAAAAAGTTGTATCTAAAATGTTTTTTCTTAAGACTTGAACTATATATGGATTGCTAATGTTGTTTTAAATAAAGTAATATTTAGGTTGCAGGTGGATCTATAACAGATTTTAATAAGAGTTTATTTTAATTCAAATGCTATACAATTGTAATAAAAAGTATAATTAATTCATTTAATAAATTGTTTTTTGCTTGTATCTTTTCCTATTGTATGTATTTTATTTTAATTGTATTTAAAAATATACTATTTTTTGACTCTTTTATCTAATAAAACTTTATTAAACCAATTTGAGTTATTTTTTTTCCTGGCAAAATTTTTCAGTTGTTATTAAGCTTGTGTTTTTTATCAGTTAAAATTCTTTTCTAGAATATATTATATTATTATAAAATACATTCTTTGTTTGATCTTGGAACTATTAATTTAATAAAATTTCAATTCAGTAAGATTTTAAATTCTGTATTTATCAGCTAGTCTATATATATTAATTGTCTTTTGCTAAGAAACTGGATAAACTTTTATATAAGAGATCATTGTTTAGTTTATTTTTAATAGTAAAAGAATCTCTGAATTATTGAAAGTTAACTTCTAGTAATTTATTTTAAAACCTAAGTCACATTTTGTTAGCTAGCTTTAAAACTGTAATTAAGAAATTATCTTTGCAATTAAAAAGTTTGAAATGTTTACAAAAATAATAGTGTTAGATTCCAGTTTTTGAGTTATACTTGTTTAAGTTTAATTATAATAGATTTGTTAGCTATTATTTTATTGTTAAATCTGTTAATAAATTTTGTAATTTGAGATTCTGTTTGAATATTTCAAATATTTTTCAAATATTTTTCAAATTAAAAATACCTTTGTTATGAATAATATTATTGAAAATAGTACTATATAATTTTGTTTTATATTTGAAATTTTCTATATTGTTTTATAAGTTTCTTATATTCTTTTTATAAAATATGACAGTTTTAAATTCTATATTTAATTCTGAAAATAAAAACTCTATTGAATATATAAAGTACTTATTTGTTAATTGCTTTTTTGTTTTTAAATACAGATGTTATTTTGTTAATATTTTGTTGAATTCTATAGATTATATTTTTTTATGATTTTTGTTTTCAATATAAATCTTTAGGAATTGTATTAAGTCTTGAATTTTCATTTGTAATAAGGATCCTAATAATTCTGTGTTTAATTCTATTTGATTCCAGCTCTTATAATAAATTTAATAAATGAATTATAATTCACTTATGTTTTTTATATATATATAAATTTATGTAAGTCTATATACAGTAATTTAAATTTCAGAACCATATTTTATAAATTAATATCTAGTTTATTTCAACCTTTACAAAGTTTTTTTCTTGACTTTTATATTATTATTGTTGTTAAATAAAACTGATTTAAGACTATTTATTTATGAGTTATTTTGTTTTATAAAATTCTTTAACTTTATTCAATGTTTCTTGAAAATTTTATTTGAAATAAAATATTTAAATAGTATTATCCATATATGATATAGCTATACTATATAGCTTAAATATTTCATTTTTGATACCTGAAATATTTGATTTTCAAGTATATTGAATAATATATTTTAGATTTGGATTTTTTTCTTTGATCTATATTATATATGTTTCTATATTATTATAAAAGAAAATTTGATCAATAATATAATTTTAAATTAAATATGATTTTTAATTATTTACTATATGTTATTTAATAATTCTATTATAATATAGTTTTTGAAAAATAGTTGAATTTAATTCCATTATATATATAGTTGCTTTTTGTTCAAAAGTTGATTTTTTATTAGTAGGCATTAGCAGTTATATAAAAATTGAAGTGAAATTTTTAAGTAAATAAAAAAAATTATATATATATATAATATATTTTTATAAATTGAATATGTTACACTTAAATATTGAATATATTTCTATCAAAAAAGTTTAATTAATTTTTAAATTAAATTTTATTTTTTTTAAAAAAAAAGCTGTTTATAAACTTCTGTCTACTCTTTATAATTTAAATAAATTCGTTTTAAATTATAGTATAAGAAATATATTCATAAATTTTTACAAAAAATAAATAATAATATCAACAAGTTGAAATAAAATTTTAAGAATTAATAAATTTTAAATACTCAAAAATTTTAATATAGAAACAATTTGTTGATCATTGATGTTTTTATTATAAAAAACAATATTATATTTGAAATTCGGGTTTTTTTAAATATGTTTTTTATTAATTTTTATACATCTATCTTGAATAATATAAAATAAATAACAAAATAAGCAAAAAATTTTTATTAAAATAAAAAAAAAATAAGGTGTTTTTTTATTTAATAAAAATATAGAATATATATTAATGTAAAATAAAATTCAAAGTACAAGTAATAATTATACATTTCCTGAGCATAGTGAAGAACTATATATTTCTATATATTTTTTGGTCCAAAGCATATACAGTATATTTTTATACATTTTTTATAAAAATGTCTGTCTGTTCTCAGTGTAACGCAAATATGTCATTCCCGTGCACTTTAATATCATGTAAGACCCCTGTATCTAGTGATTTTCGCATATCACACATACGTCATTCCCGTCAATTCCAAGTATTTTGTATTTATGATACTGTACTGTATATTGTGATTAAAAACCGAAAAATGATTTTTTATTACTGTGGTAATTTATATACCGGATTATATTTTCTCTATACAATAAAAAATACTGTACGAATGATACATTAGAAATTTGATGTAATACATTATCTTATCCAAGGTTCTGTTAAACTCTTACTACTTGAATATTTATCCAACTAATTTTTTATTTAGATAAATTGATAACCTAACTAACTTATTATATGAAAAGATGCGATGAATAAGTTTTTTTCCTTCTGTCGAGATAATATTTTAAATGCATTGAGATGATTACAGTATCATGCAAATGGAATGTCAAAATTCTAGTTTAATTTAATTATTATGATCGAGAAATACATGCATTGAAAAATAGAAAATAAATAACTAAAAATCAAACGAAAATGGTAGGATCTCCGTAAAGTTTGGCATATTTTCCCAAAGCCCAAATTGTAAAAATGAACTTATAGTTTGGATAGCTGATAGCGCAGTTTTTGTTAAACACTCCTTCAATTGCTTCCTGCTTCCATTCCCCGTTTGATAATTGACGTTTCATAATAAGCTAAATTTCGTCATTCGTAATGAAATTAAATTAGGTTAATACATTGCTGAAGTAAAAAAATATCACTCTCCTTTTATTTTTTACCTGAATTCCGCGCTTAATTGGTTTCTCTTTTGGATATTTGGCCATCATTAAAGCGAGTAAAGCCCAAGCGGTGTTTACAACTTGGGATCGTTCGTGATCGGTATAAACTTCAAGTTCGCACGACTAGTACAAAAAAATTTTGAGGGGTTCAATTCACATTCCGTACCAAGATAGGTACACAATAATTCGCTTACCTTGTAAGATTCACCCCAGCCACCATCTGCCATTTGCTTTGAAATCAGAAATTCACACCCTTTTTTGACAACTTCACTGTTTAGAGGGAAAATGACATAAATGAGTTTATTCGTAAAGACTATTTATACTTAAAATGCAAAATTTACCTATTCTCATAAGTTTCGCCATTACTGGCTAATGCTTCTATTGCAAACATGGCGGCGTAGGTGAAACAAATAGCCCATGAACCATACCAACTTCCATCTTCACGTTGCGATTTATAAATATACTTTATGGCCTTATCGCAAACTTTTCTTTTTTAACCAATATTTGATCATTAAATTAGTTCTATATTATCGGTATAGAAAAATGAGTTGTGGCTAAAATGCGCCATTACTTACTTAATCTCATCTGCTCGATAGTCGGGATAATATTTTGAGAAGGTTTTCAATCCTGTCATAACACAGGAAGTGCATTCTGGATAACTATATTCAATCATAATGTTTCCAAAAACTTCCGCTGGATTCATCCATTCTAGAAATTCGGATCCACGGATAAGTTCATAACTCGCAATACCCCCATCTTCATTTTGCATATCTAATAAAATATCGACAGCTTGGCATAGACGCTCTTTAGAAACCGACTTGGATGCATAACTAGTAAAAAAAGAAAACATATCCACCAGTGTTCAACTTGATTCGAAATATTTGAGGTAATGTAAACGAAAATACCTTAGCTTTTCCTGGAAATTAATTACCGCTTTCAATCCCAACGACGTGCAGTCAGATACAACATAACCTTGATCACGCGTACTAAATCCCCATGCACCCTTGGTCTTAGTTCTGTAACATCGACTCATATGAACGGGATCTCCTTTAAACTGAGAGTCATCTAAAAAGTCTAATGCCTGGATCATTGACTGATGAAACGCGGGATCATCAGCCAAGTCTAGAAATCAAATGGGAAATAAGGAATAGAAACTGAAATGGAATGAACTCAATACGAAGATGATCAAGCTATCTGTTACCTGTATCTATTAATGCTAGAACCATTAGCGCAGTATCCCATAGTTGAGTTCCGTTGGTTCCATTCATCATCATGCCTTCAGAACTCATCCTAATAACAACCGACATTAAAAAAAATCCTACAGAATATCATTTGATGCATTCAGTAAATAGAATAATATTCTTACCACACATAATCAATTAATTTTTCTTTTGCGAGTAAAAATGCCTCGGAATCTGGTCCTTCCTCATAATACGTGCAAAGGATGTGCATCACCTTGCTTACCTAAAATTAAAGTGGATTAGCCATGATTCCGATAATTCAAATAGAAACTAAACGTAACGTACGGGAGCAATGTCAAGATAATCAGTATTTTCATCTTCGCATTTTATCAGATCATATGATTCTTGAAGAGCAACATCTCGAAGTCCAAGAAAGTTTGGAATCTTTTCATAAACATTTAAAAAAACTTGAAATTTCCATCATCATAAATACATAATGAATGAATCAATTAATTTGATAAAATAATGATATAATTTTTTTTCAATTAAAAAAAAAAACTTACAATTGCAAAAATTAAAAAATTTCGTGTGAGGTATATAGAGATCGACCTCCGCGATATTATTACGCATACCCGACCAATTAATTGATTCATAAGGTTGAATATACAACTCCTGCCGCAGATCCATGATCAGTGGTGTCAATTCAGCCCTTAGCCTTCTACCATAAATGTATCCCATAGGGAGATACACAACACGCGTGTGAATCCAGAAACGAGCAGGGTGAATTGGCAAAGAGTATGGGAAAAGCCTTTCCACAAAATGCACATAAGTCAGATCGTATTTAGGATTGTCTTATAAGAAGCAATAAAACATTACTACCATAATTCCGGAGGGATAGGGTTAAGGCCCTCCCAATCATATACGTTTAAACTTGCCAACCAAAATTTTCCCCATGAAGGAGCACCCGCGGCCCCTCCTAAAAAAAGCATCTTTTGTTAATTTTCAACAGAAAATAAAGTCACAACAAACCATCATACCAAACCCACCCAGCTTATGCAAAGTTCCTCTAGCCTTGACCATGACCGGATGATCAGCGTCAACCCCCAATATCCTAAGCGTAACGTAATTTAACGCGGTCCCAAATACTGTTGAATGATGTTCAGTATGTCTGGGCCGTAAATTAATTTTAGCATGCGTCTTTAGCGAAGAAAGATCTCATTAAACAATATGATCAATATAAAAACTCACAACCCCCAGCCACCATCATTCGGATGTGCTTTGTTGAATAAATATCTAACGATCTCCAGTCTCCAACTTTCAGGAACCGGTATTTTTGTGACATACATTGCGATAATAAGTCCAGGGAGCAAAAACATCGGACCGCCGTATTCTCCTGCCCAATGACCATCTTCAGTTTGTAGTTGTTTGAAGAATTCAAATCCGTTCCGTGCCGATTCCGACGCTCTTATCGGAAAATCAAACTTCTTGCTTTCCTGAAAAGGTTACGCAATCGCAAAAAAAGGAATCAGCGAATGATTTTCTTGGAATTGAATGTATCCGGGATCAAGCAGTAAATAACTCACGAAGGGTAAACCAAGCAAATATTTTTCAATAACAGACTGAGGCCAATTTCTGACTTCTTCTTCATCCTCCAAATAATGCCATGTTTGTCTACCGTGGTCAACTTTCAGTCTCCATCTTGTTATATCTGTTTTACCGGTATCATACGATGGAATTAATGTCATTCTTTGAATTAGTATATGACTCCTCGCTACTTTCAAACTTTCAAGATACAGTAATTCGATGTGTTCGGCAACTTGTAAGAAAAAAAAACTAATGGAATGACCTGAAGTATCAAAAATTTGACCGGATCGAAGAGATCAGCATATGCCGATAGGTTTAGTCTAGATCTTTTTTTAATCACATTTTTTACACGATATTGACAATCCCATATGTAGCAAAATAAATACAGTAAATATACATGCTATAATTTTGGATACGCATGCTCGGTGGAAAAAGTCACAATGCATTTAATATTAACGTACAGTATTTCTTTCTAAGATTCTATGATTGGTGACTGTGAGTCAACACTCACGACATTGTTTCAGATTGTTGAAATTGTATGAGAATTTATCATGCTGTTACTGGTTGATTACGTTTGAGTAACTAGACTATACTTGTTTAACTGTTTTACTATATTTGAACACACGTTTTTTTCTTCGCGAAGATCTATTCATATACTGTAAATGTAACAATTCATAATCATAATTATCAATCATTGTAATGTTTTTCAGTCGAGGTCTCTAATCTTTATTTGATCTTGATTGAAAAAAAATCAGTGCAAACACAAATGACAACATTGTTACGTATATTAAAGATTTAAAATATTTTTATACGCACCCGTATACCAAGTATTTTCAAGTATGCTGTTTAAATTACAAAAATCTATTTTGTATTTTAAACACATTGCCTCAAATGATAATTCGATTCAAATTTTATTTACAATAAATCATATGAATTATATTTAATCTTTTTAAAAAAATTATTTTTTCAATTTAAAACAAGTAAGTATAAAAAATTAAATAACAATACGAATTTTAAAGTATTATGAAATTTTTTAAATATAAAATAATTTAAAATTAACGATTTTTATTAAATACTGTATGTAAATTCTATTATTTGAAAAATGTGCCAATATATTAAATACATTTGTTATTGTTTTCTTTAAAATATACGTAAATAAGTATTAAATGAAAAACATTTGCTAATATGCTGTAAATAATAATTATCTTATGAATTGTTTCACATTCCTTATATAAAGTTGATAATGTTTATTAAATTATTTAATAAAATTAAAGTATCATAATTTAACTTGCGTTTTTTAAAAAAAAATCCTAAAACAAAAAATTTTATTATACAATCGTTAAAACTATTATAAAAAATTTTTTTGTAAAGGCTAAATAAAGTTTTATTAAAAACAAAATTTATTTCTATAATTATTTTTTATAATAAATTATATTAACCATTTTAAAAAAATTAATTATTTCAACTATTTTAATTTTTTTTTTAAAAAAAAATAAACATTTTCTTGTATTGCATATAAGAATTTTTTATTGTTGAAAATATATAACTTTTATATCAAAAATTTATTGCTATAGATAATAATTATTTTATTTTATTTAATGTCAAAAAAATTCTATAATAAATAATATTAAAACATCTTAGCAAGAATAGTACAAGTAGTAAATTTTACTTTACTTTTTCAAAAAAAAAACTAGTTTGATATATTAAAATTTAATAATAATAAAAAACCAAACTAGTAAGATTTAAAAATATAATTCATTATCAATTTTTTTAACAAATTTTTTATCAAGTTTTATTATTGAAAATTATACTAAACATCAATTATAACTTATCCAATTGAATAATATTAATGCATTGTTTTTATTATTAATAATATAATATAAACCAATTGTAATTGTTATATTATTTTAATAAATTATATTATAATATAAAATATTATTTATATGTAATTTACTTTTATAAATATTAAATGTATTTTTTTAAATTATATTTAAAATATATTTTATTAATTAAAATTTTTAAAAAAAACAAATTTTTTAAAAAAACAATTTTTATAAAAGAAATTATATATATGGATAATTATTTTTAAAGATGAAATAAAATTTTTTAGGCTTAAAATAATAATTCTAAAATTATAATTTGAAATTATAACTTATAATTATAAATTACATATATAATAATTTATAAATTGTAAATATATATTAAAAATTATAATAAAATTCATATTTATTAAAAATTTATATAAAAATTAAAAATCAAATTATAAAAATATAAATTAAATGTGAAATAGCACTTGCATAAAAAAAAAATAACTGAACCCAAAATCATATAACTATTACCTACCTATATATTTTATATTTTTATATTATATTTTTATAAAAATTAAAAAATTGAATATATTTTCTATTCTAATAATTAATTTTATCTATTTCATCTTTCTATTATTTTTGAAATATTATTATTATTATTATTTGTTGGTATATAATTTTTTCTTGTATTTTTCATAATCTTTATTTTTAATAAAACTTCTTTATAATATATATCTTTAAGAATATTAAGAGTTAAAGCATATATTTTTTATTGATTTTTATAAATAATAAATAAAAATAAAAAATCATTTATTATTGATTTGTAAATATTTTTTTATGGTTTTTATAATAAATATTAAAAGAAATATTATTATAAAATTATATTTTAATTTTAAAATAATTAATAATTCATTAATAATATAAAGATTTTGTACTGCTTCTCCTTTAGCAAACTATTTTAATAATAT